ATCTAATTTTTATACATTTAAAATGTAACTCAAGATGGTACCTGAGAGAGAGACACAACACTGTTGTCTTCATTGATGGATTCATCAACAATCAACCTATTTGGCCTGTTCTTCTGCTTCAGAATGGCAGTGGAAAGATCATCATTTTTGGATCTGTATAGAAAATAACAACATTTTAAAGCAGTGGCTCTCAACTTTTTAATCAAAGGACCAGTTTTGTCCAATACAATATTCAGATGCTCCTCATACTGGCTAAAAGTTTTCCTCTGGTATTCCAGCTGTAATTATGACAATGATGCTGTTTGGGGGTGAAAAAAATATTCCAGAATATTCTGCATGTTCTTCAATAAAAACAATAGTTAGAGGGGGAAATGTGATCTCAGTTTATATGACAACTTGTGTTTCCAGTATTTAAACAGATTTGTTTTAATTAAATAATTTTAAGTAACCTGAGGCCCTCAGTAAAGCACAAAAGATGTTCAGCAGAATGACAGTTCACAGTCTCAGACACCATTCACTTTTATTGGCTCAGAAAGGTGGTGGGGGGTTCCAATGGTGCAAGACTGGCTGTTTTTGAACAAACATGTGCTTCTGTGTTCCACAGAACAAATTTACAGAGTTCTAAAACAAAATGAATGAGATTAAATAATGATTCTCATTGTCATGTGAATTGTCCCTATAACAATGTTTTACATTTCTCAGGTGGTTACCAGAGACAGATAGTTGCTACTTTTATTTCTTCCAGTATCACTTGAGGCGAAAGTGAAAGATACGTTACGTTTCATATGAAGTAGTACTTTCATGTAGAAAAAAAAGAAACATTACTTATTAGTATCCTGTCTGTTACGATGGAGTCGATGGATAAGTGCATTTCTGCGCATTTGCAGGTTTGTCAAGCTCAAATTACTCCAGAGCTTTCCACAAAACACTGGACTGAAAGCCGTAATGATCCGCTAGATTTAGGCCAGGATGCGATCGTGAGCAAGGCCTTAGTGTAGCTGATCCCGCATAATTCAACAATTTAAGATATAGGCTTATATGGTTTTTCTGAAAAGACAGTGGACAAAATAAACTAAACTAAAAGTTATCAGGCAGACCAGACGTCAAAAGGCTGCGGCCAACCGCGCGTGTGTAAATAAGCTAACAACACTGTCACAGCTAACAGACAACACACGTTACGTCTCTACATACTACTGAACTGTGCAATCAACTCCCTCACACAAGTGTTAGTTTTTTTGTCGTGAACGCAAACTAAGCATATATTGTTCAGGTAGATGGATGTATGATTTATATTCCTCTCAGAGTGCGTGATGTGAGCTAGCAGCAGGTAGCCATCTCCTGTGGCCAATGACACAGCAAATGCTGCTGTGTGACTTGTGAAGCTTAAACCGCTTAAATACAAGCATTTTCGCGTTTATAGAAAGCTCTAGAGTCAGGTATAGTTAGTATCTAACGTTTTTAACGTCACATCTTGTCAAGCTTTTTTTTGGTCTGATGGCTGAAATTTCCAGATCACGGGATTTATAATCATCACCTGTTACTATATGCATTTACACAAAGCCGGTTTGACGCTTTAGCTCGCTTTGCTGCTTATTCACGGCTTCATTATTATAGAGAATTAAAGGTATCAATTTTTATGAAGCGGTATACGGGTCGTTTAAGTGTGCTGTACGTGTTTATCCGAGCAGTCGCCGGTGATGCCGGTGGGCCGAAAGCCTCCACATCATATGCGGAGATGACTCAGTCCGGTTAGCTTCCATGCTAAACAAAGCTGATCTTAGACTCATAGTCGCATTAAAACTCCCGCAAAAGTTTTAATGAGTTATGAAAACATTAGTATCTGAAGAGAGAAAAATTATATAAATTTACATGTGCGCTCGGATGAGAAACCTGTAGCGTGTAAACTCGCACATTTCATTGATCACCGTTTATGATGCGTTCGTCTTTTAGCTTCATGGCTAACTGGTACTCAACAAAAAACAAAACAACTATGATCGCACTAAATATAACATCAAAATTGTTTTACTTACTCTCCACCCGAAGCCATATTGCTTCTCCCGAAAAAAATATATAAATAGTTGATGGAAATGAGAAGCTCTCTTGAGTAACCGATTCCAACCTTCACTAGCTTTTTACCTCTGCACTGGATTAACCTGCTAACATCAACTCTGCGGGGAAAAATTTCCTCGCCCATTGAAGGACGAGCCAATCAGAGCACACGCTGCGATTTCTTGTGGACTGATTGGCCAATCGCGGTCCGAACGTGGTAAAGCGCAAGCACCATTGGTCCAGGTGGCTTTCACGGTTGATTGTGATTGGTTTATTTTCTGCTGCGTTGTGAATTGTCTCTTTTGGATTGGCTCAGGACGGCCTGATTAAACTGATACTCAGCTGAGCCGAAGTGTCAAAATGCCACAAACAATTGCCAAATAGGCCACGTTTCCCAACAAGTTAGGTAATCTCAAAAGCACACAAAACACCAAAATATATGTATTCCAGAATATGTTGTGTAATAATTTAAATGAGCTGTAATGCAGAACAATGTAGTGAATGCATATATACTATTACTGTCATATAAAATGTACTTACATGTGACTCTATAGGTTGAAATAAGAACCAAGTTATATAACAGTTTTAAGTTAAATAAAATCTTTTTCAGAGCTTATTCCTTTCAAAGGCAAGGCTAGGCAAGTTTATTTATATAGCACATTTCATACACAATGGTAATTCAAAGTGCTTTACATAAAAGGAATTAAAATAATCATAAAAAATAATCACAACAATAAAAGAAGGAAATTAAAAACTTTTAAAATGATCTAAAATTGATATAAAATGAAAATTAATGAAAACAGTTAAGAATAGAAAAATATGATACATAAAATACACTGCAATCAGTTCGGACACAGCACAGTGCTCATTCAATAATTGCACAGCTAAACATGAGTTTTGAGTCTGGACTTAAATGTGGCTAATGTTTTTAGCACATCTGATCTCTTCTGGAAGATGATTCCAACTGCGGGCGGCATAATAGCTAAAAGCGGATTCCCCTTGTTTTGTGTGAACCCTTGGTATTTCTAACTGACTCGATCCTAATGATCTGAGTGGTCTGTTAGGTTTATATTCAGTGAGCATATCTGCAATGTATTTAGGTATTTTTTACACGAGTAAAAGTACTTTAAAATCAATCCTAAATGTAACTGGAAGCCAGTGTAAGGAGCTGAGGACTGGTGTGATATGCTTAGATTTTCTGGTTCGGAATCCTGGCAGCAGCGTTCTGGATGAGCTGCAGCTGTCTAATGGTCTTCTTGGGAAGGCCGGTGAGGAGACCATTACAATAGTCCACCCTGCTGGTGATAAAGGCATGAACAAGTTTCTCCAAGTTTTGACTGGAAACAAAACATCTAATTCTTGCAATGTTTTTGATATGATAGTATTTTGATTTAGTTACTGCTTTGTGATGACCACTGAAACTAAGGTCTGTCTCCAGAGTCACACCAAGATTCTTGACTTGATTTTTAGTTGTTTGACCCCTAGAGTCAAGGTATGCATTCACCTTGAGAACTTCATCTTTGTTTGGAGCATATACAGGCTAAACAAGAACGGAGCAAGAATTGATCCTTGTGGGACTCTGCATTTCATTAATGTCCACTTAGACGTATGCTCGCCATATAGGTATGCTCACCTATACTCGCATAATAACCTCTCCCTTCTAAGTATGACCTGAACCATTTGAGGACCATCCCAGCAAGCCTGACCCAGTTTTCCAGTCTCTCTGGTAGTATGTTAAAATCTAATCTAAATGCAAATCTAAATGCGATGGCGCCGCAGACGGCAGCCTCAGTGTTTGGCTCTCCAGTGTTTGTACTGTTTTTGCTAGTTTTTCCTGTTTTTTGTTTCTCAAACACGATCAGTTTTACCAGGGATGAACTGCTGAACATTAACCCAGCTCTCTGTCCCTAGCTCTATCTGTCAATGGATCACCAGCGCGAAAGCTGTCTTTATAGATGCTATAGTGAATTTCAAGTTTCATCTTCTGCCACATCTGCTCAGCTTTCCTGCATTGTCTTTTCATACTCTGAACTGCTGTTGATTTTCTCCAAGCTGATTTCTGTCTGACAGACTTCTTACTGACTTTTGCGGGAGCAAAATCATCAATAGCATTCTTAACTTTTGAGTTAAAGGAATCAAGGAGATCAACAGAGCCTGCAGAAATGCTTGGTGTTAAAGATATAGCCTCCATAAATAGCACACTAGTGTTTTCGATAATGCATCTCTTTCTGACAGAGACAGATCTAGATTCAGTGGTAGCAGAAATCAATGTATCAAAGGTGATCAGATAGTGCTAAATTCTTAATAATAATGGATGAGATGTTTAGACCCTTACTGATGAGTAAATCTAGAGTGTGTCCACGATTGTGTGTGGGTCCATGCACATGCTGAAACAGGTCAAAAGTGTTTAAAACAGTTATAATTTATTTTGTAGTTTTGATTTCTGCATTATCTATGTGAATATTAAAATCCCCTGCAATAGCAAAACAGTCAAACTCTGCGGAAATCATTGATAACAGTTCTGTAAACTCTTACGTAGTATAATAAAGGCTGGAGAGTATTTTGGAGGCCTGTAAATAATGATAAATAGGATGTGTGGAGCACCTTTCAGCACAATTCCTAGATATTCAAAAGACAAATACTGACCAAATGACACTTGCTTGCATTGATACACATCTTTAAATAGAGCAGCTACACCTCCACCTCTTCTAACAGCTCTGCAGACACTTATGAAAGTAAAGTTAGGAGGGGCTATTTAATTTCATTTGTGGTGATTAAGTCATTGATCAGAAATGATTAGAATGTTTAAAAAAAAATGCTAACTTATTATAATGTTTGATTATAATGTTTAAAAATGCATTACTTTTTACAAATCATTTTCATTATGAACATTATTTATTTGAAAAAAATCATAGATAAAAAACAAGATGCTAATCAGAGAAATAGGCAAGCATACGATATATAAAGAATCTGATACCAGTCTGGATGCATTCTTGAGCTCACAAATCATTTGTTCTGACAAGTGGAATGCTACATGGTTACATCTGAAAAGGAAATTAGGCAACACAAACTGTCTTTTCTGTATGTAGTTCTGGTTTGGACACACCAAAAAAGTGAAATGGTGCAATTTAGCAGAATTTAGTAGAGAACATCCTTTCTGACATCTCGCATGTCTTTTTGGCTTGAATGTATTCCACAATCTTCTTCTTCAACTCACTGAAGTCAAAAGCTGTGTCATCTGGCCATAGCTGCAAATACAGCAGCACATTTCTGAAATGCAAGTCAAAAGATTACTGAACATTTATCATACCAGTTACAATCTCTTAGATTCCAACGATGCTCAACTTTCATGTGAAAAGTCATATTATGATAAGAGTATATTATCACTAGTGCTGTCAAACGACTAATCGCAATTAATCACATCCAAAATAAAAGTTTTTTTTTTATATAATATGTGTGTGCTGTGTCTATTTATTATGCATATATAAATACACAAACATGCATATATATATTTAATAAAAATATGTTACGTTTATATATTAAATATATTTTTATATGATATAATTTATATGAATATAAATATACACACATAAATACATGTAAATATTTTCAAAATATATGCTGTATGTGTGTGTCTTTATATATACATAATAAATACACACAGTACACACACATATATTATGTAAACAAACACTTTTATGTTGGATGCGATTAATCGCAATTAATCGCTTGACAGCACTAATTATCACACGAGTTAACAATATTGATTTTTCTGATAGCTTACACTGATTTAGGTGCATCTGAAGTACTATGGGCTTCCCTCCAGTGTGCTGATGCTTCCTCTCTACGAACAAGCCTCCACAAGACCTCAGACAGCAACATCTTAATATGTGACCCTGGACCACAAAACCAGTCTTAAGTCGCTTGGGTATATTTGTAGCAATAGCCAAAAAACATTGTATGGGTCAAAATGATCGATTTTTCTTTTTTGCCAAACATCATTAGGAAAAGATCATGTTCCATGAAGATATTTTGTAAATTTCCTACCGTAAATATATCAAAACTTAATTTTTGATTAGTAATATTAGGGCTGGGTAAAAAATATCGATATCTCGATATTAATCAATTCTCATTTTTACGGAACGATATCGATTTCTAAATCCCAAGAATCGATTAGTCTAGCCTGTTTCAGTTAATGGACGGAACATTAAAGGGCACCTCCCATCCAATAAATCGCAATAATCATTGTGCTTTGATACTTTTCATATGAAACAAAGTCTCAGATTTCAAATTCTGTCCATTGTATTGCAGTATTCAAACAATAAATGCCGTTTTGTTGCTGTTTAATGTGGAGTGACAGATCGCTGTAGCGCCTCAGTTCAACAGACGCGGCAGCGCGAGGCGCACGTGAACTGATCATCTCCTCCACATTAATACCAGCTTCAGCACAAAATAAACATGACTAAATATCCTAAGGTAAGTTAAAAGAAAGAGTACAACTTTACAATCCGTAAACTGTGTCATGTAATCGCTCAATCTGTGTTTCAGCCGTGCAAAGATGCCAATATAACGGCTTGTAAACAATATGTCACGTAACGTCACATTTACCTCAGAAAAAAAAAAATATTTGGTGACCATAAACTCATTAATCATATAGAAAAATAAACTGTAGAGAGGGGCATTTTGCTTAATATATGCACCATATAACATATTCATTATAATTTTTTACTGTTCTTCAGTATTTAATTTATGTTAGAATAAATCCATCAAGTTTTTATGACAGCCACCATTTAAATGTTTATATAAAAAAAACCCCGAATTGAACTATTTAAGTAGAAATATTAATATCTAACTTTATTATTGTAAAATCTTCATTAATTTTAACCTTCAATATTATAGTAATGTTGTACCAACTGACTCTCATGTAGGCCTATATTTTACAGCATCAGTTGAGATTTTTTTCCTTGAGAAAATTTGGCATGTACTGTACCTGATATATATCCAAAATAATCGATATTGAATCGAATCG